CACCAACAAATTGCCCAATCTATGACAAAGAATGGTCAGATTGTGGAGAAGATCTACTTGCCTGTCTCACAGACTACGATGCAACATCAGTACAATGCTATTCCATCCCCCCCAGAGGTCATCGAAAGAAACCCACTAACATAGCCAAAATTACCTTCCGTAGACATGACCTTCCCTTTAACGTCTACATAGGAGGAGAATCCCTCCCTGTTCGTCCATACCAACCTCCTCCACGTCAGTGCCAAAATTGTTGGCGTCTAGGACACCCAGCCAAACACTGCCGTTCCACAGCCAGATGCCCATTATGTGCCCAACCTGGCCATACCCGATCTAACTGCTCTGCACAATCACGCACATGTGCCAACTGTGGCGGCCCCCATAATGTATTTTATAGGGGCTGTCCCACCTACAAATTTGAATCTGAGGTAGCAACTCTCAGATTCAAACTCGGACTCACACTGCGTGAAGCCAGACAGGAAGCACGTCGACGTGGATTCTCTCTTACTCCTTACTCCAGTAATACTGCTCATCCTAACACTTCTCCTAAACCCACCCCTCCTACATCTAACCCCCCCACTAACCCCACCTACCTTCCCCAGTCAAACTCTTTTGCCATCCTAAATCCAGAAACTCCAATCTCTACTACAGATACTCCAATCACCACTACAACCCCAACACCTTCCCCTCTCCCTCCTCGCACTCCCCGTAACAGACAGAACAAACGTTCCACCCCCTCTTCCCCTACCACACAATCACCCCCACCATCCTTTGCCCGTACTCTTGAGACACCAGTCCTCTCTTCCCCCCCTCACAAGAAATCCTTTATCCCCCAAAACTCCCCAACCAACTCCACAGAAGAAACTATTGAAAATATTCAAGATTACTTAATGAAAACCGACACTCAACCTACAACTCCTGCTCCTTCCACACTCCAAGTAATTGCTGATATCCATCCTCTCCTAACGATATCCCCCCTACACCCTACCCTCCTACCCCCTCCCAACACAGCCCATCCCCCCTGACCCTGCCCACATTAACTCTCCCACCATCCCCTCTATCCCTTCCACTCCCTCCTGGATACACACGTGAATCCCTTATGTCACAAGTATCCCCTTCCTCAGACCCTCCATCTCCTACTACCCCTCCTGATAGAACACCAACTCCCACACCTCTCCCATCTCAAACCTCTCAGTCCTTATCCCACCCTCTAGCTGCTTCCCCTTCAAATTCTCCAACACGTACTACAATCTATATCACTAAATCAACGAAAGTATAACTATCCTTCATTGGAATATTCGCGGTTTCCGCTCCCACAGACCTGACCATCATATCCTTTCCTCTTATAACCCATCTATTGTATGCCTTCAAGAAACCTTTCTTATGCATACCCTTTATCTAATATAACACCCGACCTTAACCCTTTCACTCACTAATTCCTTTGCCCAGCTTAGACAACTAATCACTAACTCAACCACCCTTCACTAACATTAACTATAGTGCTACATGACCTTAGATGTCTAGCACATTTATCTTGCTTTTAACCATTAACCATTAACCATTAACCTTACAGCCTTATTGCCCACCTCTCCATGACACTACCTCCCTCAACACTACTCCCTCTTCGACACGCCCTCGCCCTTCTACTACCCCTATCTCTACAACAATCTTAAATACTCTATTTAGCCCAGCCAAATGGGACCGATTTTTCATGATCCCTCCCACAGCTCCCTACTCTGACAACACCCTTCTCTTCTAGCAATGTCTCCAAAAACAAGTAGGCAAAGTCTCTTTCTGTAGCCGACCTGACTGCTCCTGTCTCGTCACAGTAACATATGAAAACCAAGCTATAGCATTAGCAAATCTAACTGATCTATGTGGTAATCCCATCCTTGCAGAACCCCATCCAACCCTCAATACTTGCACTGGAACTGTTTCCATTTCCCCAGCAGATTGGTCAGATTGTGGAGAAGACTTACTCACCTGTCTCACGGACTATGATGCGACATCAGTACAATGCTACTCCATTCCTCCAAGAGGTCATCGTAAGAAACCTACTAACATTGCCAAAATAACATTCGTAGACATGACCATCCCTTTAACCCATTCGTGCTGGGTGTCACATATACATGACGTGCCCACTGTGAGTTTACTTGTTTAATTGTTTTCACACATAGATGGCTACACTTGTACTTGTACTGCATGTCTCACCTGTTTACCCTTTTCTTTAATTTACGAAAATATCTTACGTTATTTTATTTTGCTGTTACTAATGTTTATAATAAAAATAAAATTGTTGGCGTTTAGGACACCCAGCCAAACATTGCCATTCCACAGCCAGATGCCCACTATGTGCCCAACCTGGCCATACTTGATCAAACTGCTCTGCACAATCATGCACATGTGCCAACTGTGGCGGCTCCCATAATGTATTTTATAGAGACTGCCCCACCTACAAATTTGAGTCTGAGGTAGCAACTCTCAGATTTAAACTAGGACTCACTCTACGTGAAGCCAGACAGGAAGCACGTCGACGAAGTCTTTCTCTTACTCCCTACTCCAATAATGTTGCTCTTTCTACCACTCCCTCTACCTCCCAAGCTCCTACACCCTCTCCTAAACCTACCTCCCCTCTACCTAACTTCCCCTCTTCTACCTCCTACCTTCCCTAGTCATATTCTTTTGCCATCCTAAATCCAGACACTCCAATCTCTTCTACAGCCTCAACACCTTCCCCTCTCCCTCCCCGCAACAGACAGAATAAACATTCCACCCCCTCTTCCCCTACCACACAATCACCTCCACCTACCTTTGCCCCTACTCTTGAGACACCAGTCCTCTCTTCCTCCCCTCATAAGAAATCCTTTATCTCACAAAACTCCCCAACCAACTCCATTGAAGAAACTCTGGAAAATATTCAAGACTAACTCTCATCCACCTTCAAATCCTACAACTCCCACTCCCTCCACACTCAAAGTGACTGCTGATATCCATCCTCCTACCAATATCCCCCCTACACCCTATGCTCCTACCCCCTCCCAACACAGCCCATCCCCCCCCCCCCCCCGATTCCAGTCACGCCCACATTAACCCTCTCACCATCCCCTCTATCCCTTCCACTCCCTCCTGGATATACACATGAATCCCTTATATCACAAGTATCCCCTTCCACACCCATCTAACACACTCCTATCAGATGTTACAATCCGATCCATCCCTATGTTCCTTATGTAATGTTCCTCTTTAAGTCCCACACATTCTATTGTCATGCCCACGTTTTGAATTAGCCCCACCTATCCTCCCTTTACCAACCTCCCAACCTATCAGACATCCTTACAGAATCTCACACTTACTGCTTCGACAATCTGTTTTCCTTCCTCAAACGCATAAATATCCTACACTTAATCTAAGCCCCTTTACATTACCTCACCCGACCTTAACCCATTCACTCACCAATTCCTTTGCCCAGCTTTGACAACTAATCACTAACTCAACCATTAACCATTAGCTGGCCATATATCTGAGGTGTATAGGGGGAAGGAAGATAGCATGGAAAAAGAGAGCTGGGTGAAAATGAAAAAGGTAGAATAGAGATGCATATGTATCATTGTAATATATACACTTACCTAAATTTGGAGAGCACATAAACATTTAATGGAGAATTAGAAAATTATAGTTATTTTGTATTTTCAACACACTCCTTTGTTTATGAATTTGAGAATTTTGGTCTGGAATAAAAAAGTGGCAATAACTGCATTTACATTATCAATCAGTATTCAAAATACTGAGAATTGTTAGTTTTCTGGTATTTGTTATCTTAACTCATTTGCCCCATGTAGCAAGAATAGATGCCATACCCACTTTAATATACATTTATTTATTGTATTTACACATAGATGGCCCCACAAGTTCTTAATCACCAAATAGCCAGTTATCAAGAACTACCTATTTTACCTGTTTACCCTTTTCCTTCACTTCAGGAAAGTTTTTTTTTGTATCATTTCATTGTCTAAAATATTCTAATGACAATTTAATAATCATAACATCAATAACAATAATAACAGTATTGATAGCAATGGTAATAATTTTCCCGCTAATTCATTGAATGGAAAAATCAGGGTCGTTAACTAGGGCCTACTGATAGACTCCTTGCCGGCTGAACACATATGGAGCCATCTGCATGTAACAAAATTCACCAAAAACTACAGGGGACAGAACATAAATCTAGGGCGAATGGGTAATATTATATGGTCTTAATATTATATCAAAATTCATCTAAAAAAGAAAACCAGAGCTTGAGAGTCAAGTTTAGTGCCTATCACACAAAACAAATTATTGTTTTCCATAGTTTCAACAAATTAGTGCATGGCCACTAAAATGTCTAAAATTTAATATTTACTGAAAGTGGAAGCTGACTGACCATGTCTACACACATTGTCTGATGACCTGGGGAGTTAAACATTAGCTTTATTTACTTATACTTTTTTTTTTTTTTTTTTTTTTTTTTTTTTTTTTTTTTTTTTGAGTGTGGGGAATGAGAATAAGCAAAATTTGTGAATAATACTGAAACTTGATATTAATGGAGAAAAAGGGGTGATGTCACTTTGATATTGCCCATTTTATCTATATTTACCAATACATGGCATTTGCTTGACATTGTGCCACTGTCTGGCATTCACCTGGAAAAGAAAATGCAGCTTTTTTTGTGCGTGCGTGCGCGTGTGTGTGTGCGTGTGCGTGTGCGTGTGCGTGTGCGTGTGCGTGTGCGTGTGCGTGTGCGTGTGCGTGTGCGTGTGCGTGTGCGTGTGCGTGTGTGTGTGTGTGTCTATGCATGCATGCATGTGCATATGTATACCCACAGCAACCCACAGACATGTGCATATGTATACCCACAGCAACCCACAGACATGTGTATATGTATACCCACAGCAGCACACAGACATGTGCATGTTTGAAGCTGCACATAATTAGAATGAGGTTTAAGAGTATACAAATACATTAAATGTAGTGAAGCTTTATTGGACATTACAGATTCTACCTGAGAACTTTTACAAGAATGAACAAAGCTGTCAAACAATGGGGAAGAAAGGAAGAAAGAAAAAAAGTCACAAAACTTTATTTTTCTTTATCAAGGTAATGATGCACTTAGCAGTTTGGTGATGATAACTGAGAACTGATTACTTGGTGACAATAACTGCTTGACATACAACTTTGTTGTTCTGACATGCTGCATTCAGCCAGTGATCACCACCCTCTCAAGTACATCTTTGCTTTGATGAAAAGGAGAGATTATGGGGAGACAGGTCATGGATATCCACATGGTTAGAAGTCATGAGGAATGTGACCTTACAGAACACTTGAATCTGGAAAAGACAAGGAGAGATAACAGCAGTGCACCTTCCACTTCCTCACCTTGGTCTCCCTGCTCACCACCTCCTCTCTTCTCCCTGGTCCCTTCACTGCTGCCATGCCCCCACCCCCCCTCTCTACTCTCAACACATCCTTTCTGATTGTATCAATGAATGTTTACAGATCAAATCTTATTTAGAAATTGACATAGACTTGAGAAAAGAACAATATGCATTAGCTGAAGAGAATAAGTGGACAGAATGGGGAGGCAAGGTAGCATTAACCATTAGATACGGAAATAAATACTATTAGTTTTATACATCTGTTTATTAACCAAACTTGACTATTTTGAGAGTGCTTATTCACATAGTTTTAATAATTAGTATATGAAATCATATTCCATTTCAAACAAATAGTAATGGAGACCTTTTGACTTCAATCTTGAAATGCATTATTCTCAAAGACTGAATTTTTGCATTAACCCAATGACGCTGGATGTACAAAACAAAAAAAAAAACTCTACGCTCTAGCAAACAAAGGCAGCGCGCCGACTTTGAGCGCATGAGTAGGGGACATCAGCCCGAATCACTGGCTCGCTGCGGCATACAGCCGCACGCCAGCTTTCGAGCGGTTTGTTTGCACGCCGATCGGCATCACCCGACACCAAGGATTTAAAACACAGATAATCTAATATTTTCACTAAATAATTTGACTTTGAGTAAACTGGTTTTTTTAGAGTAACAAAGTTATGAAGAGAATATGCAAATTACTGCAGTAGTCCAATTTTTGTGACATCAAAATGATACACCTCTATTGTGCAATTACATATTTAAATTTCAGGAAAACTCCCTCCACAAATTTGTTTGTACACCATTTAGCAATTCACAGCTAAAAGCTAATGTCTCTTGAGCAAATATCTTACTCTATGTGACCTTTCTTTAAGGCAGTGACTACCAATCTCTTTCTGTTTGAATCCTGAAATTTCAACCTATAATTAAATTTTTTCATGTGTATAAAATTACAATGGGATTATAACACAGAAACAAGAATAGGAACATCTACCATATCAAAGGATACAAAAATGAACACATAGCAATTCACATAACAAAGTGCCTATTGATATAGTGCTGCTTCTACAGTTATAAAAAAAAACCTGTATTGGTATAAAATTTAAAAAAAGTACAAAAGATGTATACAATTTTCTATATCTTGCATAAAAAACATTATAAAAATATGTATCAACATGAACTTTCAGACAAAATGTAATTTTGTAAGAGTAAGTCTTTGACAGCTTTCTTTACTAATAAACCATATGTTTTTATAAATCACTTACAGCCATAAGAGGGTAGGTTGTAACCACTAACAGATTAGAGATGTGCCACAGTATTGATATAAGCTGTGCTGACTTTTTTTCTTTTCTTATTTTACTATACTGGTATATGCAAAGGTGAAAATATGGCTACTTCCTTACCATTCTATTTTACTTACTATGTGATTCAAGACAAAGCCATAGTTTTGTGTCTGGAAACAATAGTTCACTTCTAACACTCATTATTTACCAAAGTAGACCAACAGAGCCAAGGGAAGTCTTGGTGGTCAAAAATTACAAAATTGTCCCCATCACTTATTAATGTATGTGAAATTACACTCCTGGGGTGGTGCTCCTGAGCATCACAAATCTGTATGTACTGCATTTTTTTTAAACAGTTACTTGCAGTTGTCAGCAACTTCCCAATTCTCATTCAGAAAATAAATTATTAAATTGTAGCATTACACTTTTTATAATGAGAGATAAAATTTCAGCATAAGTATCATCTGGCCTATATGTATCATATCAGCACATCTCTGCTAAAGCTATAAATGCAAATATGAAACCATTCCTAAATACCTCTATAATACAAACCAATTTAACCATAGATAGATAGCGCTTTTTAATGAGGCCCTGCTTACAAGATTTGGACAAGTAGTTAGGAGTTGTGGTAAGCAGATGTTGGATAAA